GGCAGGAGACTCGCTTTAGCCCAGGAGTTGGAGGTTGCTGTGAGCGTGATGCCATGGCACTCTACCCAGGGGGATAGCTTGAGGCTCCGTCTCAAAAAAATAAATAAATAAATAAATAAATAAATAAAGGTAGAATCTCAAATCAGCTGGGAAGAAGGCTAGGTTTATTTAGTAAAGGACTTAGGAAAAATAGCTGTTTGTGGAAATAAAAATTTCTATACCACATATTCATACTATTTTCAATTTTTTTTTTTTTTTTTGAGACACAGGCTCAAACTGTCACCCTGGGTAGAGTGCTGTGGCTCACAGCAACCTCAAATTCTTGGGCTTAAACGATTGTCTTGTCTCAGCCTCCCAACTAGCTGGGACGACAGGCATCTGCCACAACGCCCAGCTATTTTTTGGTTGTAGTTGTTGTTTGGCAGGCCCAGGCGGGATTCGAGCCCACCAGCTCCTGTGTATGTGGCTGGCACCCTCACCACTGAGCTACAGGCGCCAAGCCTATTTTCAATTTTTTTAATCATGTAAAACAAAAGACTAGGAGAAAACGTAAATGAATATTTAGCCTGCCCTCTGTATAAAAGACTAAGTATAAAACCCATAAAGGAAATCTCAAAGAGTGAGAACTTTGATCCTGTATTCACAACATTTTAGGAGGGCTGCAAATGTGCAAGGGATTTTTCTCTTTGTATTCACCTCTGTCCACAGAACAATTAAGTGCTTGATTTTTTTTTTTTTTTTCTGTAACCAAGGTTAAGAAACACAGTGGAACTGAAATGGCCAGGGAGAGATTTATCTGCCTGTGAAGATAGGCCATTCTCTTATCTCAGGCTTCCAAGTAGCTGGGACTACAGGTGCCCACCACAAGTGCTTCAAGCTTCAAGGCCATTTCTCTTGAAATGGCCTCCCAGAGCTTGGGATTATAAGCATGAGCCACCATGCCCAGTCTATGTAAAGAATTCTTAAAGATCAATAAGAATGTCAAGACCCTAATAGTAAAACTTGTAAAGAGTATCAATTAGAAAAGGAAGCACTTGTGGCAGGCACCTGTAGTCCCAGATACTTGGAAGCCTGAGACAAAAGAATCACTTAAGCCCTAGAGTTTGAGGTTGCTGTGAGCTGTGATGCAATGGTACTCTACCCAGGGCAACATAGATTAAAAAAGCACAAATTCCAGGGAAGTATGTGAGAGTCCATCTTTCCCAGCAAAAGAAATCAAAATCACAGGGACATTCCTTTAACTTGTCCAAATTAGCATAGTGTTGCCAAGAATGAAGTGGGATATTGGAGCAATAGCATAAGTATAAATTAGCAACACTTTCTAGAAAGTAATTTGTAATTAGAATGAATGTCAAGGACATTAGTCTTCTAAATAAAATTTCTAAACAAAAGTAATCTAGCCTACTTCTACTTTTAAGAACCTTTCATAAGGAAATAAAGATGTACACAAAAACATGTGTCCCATTTGTGAACCATGCCAGATGTGGGGCCTAGTTTCAGGATCCAGTGTGGTGGACATCAGATATATCATTTTTTTCCTTATTAAAATGTAAATCTACTAAAAGAAAAAGGCAGGAGGCTGCATATGCCCAAATATAAGGTTAGATGTCTTCTAGAATTATCTCTTAGAAAAATTTATGTTAAAGGCTTTCACATAGTTTTTCTATCATAGTATAATTTCTCAATAGCAAAGTAATGATTGGGGAGGAGACACTGGCCTGGAATGATCTGACAGGTCTGTATCATATGCATGTAGAATCATCTGATGAAAAAGGAGGCAAAGAAATTAAGTATAGATTAAGTAATTATTCCTGGAATATGACCTCATAGTTTTGTCATGTATGTTCAGCTTCCTGAAAGATCACTTGAAAAATATCAGTAAGTAGGGTATATTTTTGCTGAGAAAAAAACCTCTTTAAAGAAAGGTAACAGGGGCAGTGCCTGTGGCTTGGTGAGTAGGGCACTAGCCCCATATACTGAGGGTGGCAGGTTCAAACCCAGCCCCTGCTGAACTGCAACAAAAAAATAGCTGGGCGTTGTAACAGGCGCCTGTAGTCCCAGCTACTCTGGAGGCTGAGGCAAGAGAATCACCTAAGCCCAGGAGTTGGAGGTTGCTGTGAGCTATGACACCACAGTACTCTACCGAGGGCGATAATGTGATACTCTGTCTCTACAAAAAAAAAAAAAGGTAACAGGGCAGCAGCTGTGGCTCAGTGAGTAGGGCACTGGCCCCATATCCCGAGGGTGGAGGGTTCAAACCTGGTCCCGGACAAACTGCAACAAAAAAGCTGGGCACTGTGGTGGGCACCTGTGGTTCCAGCTACTCGGGAGGCTGAGACAAGAAAATTGCCTAAGCTCAGGAGTTGGAAGTTGCTGTGAGCTGTGACATCATAGCACTCTAGGCATTCTACTGAGAGTGACAAACTGAGACTCTGTCTCTCAAAAAAAGAAAGGTAACAAAGGGCAATAGATGTATATAAAATCATGCGCTGGCTCGGTGCCTATGGCTCAAGTGGCTAAGGCGCCAGCCACGTACACCCAAGGTGGTGGGTTCGAATCCAGCCCAGGGACCAACAAACAACAGTGACAGGCTCGGCACCTGTAGCTCAACC